TTAAGAAACGTGGCAAAGTTTATGCCTTCTTTGTGGATCTCCACTCTGCCTTTGATTCCCTGGATAGAAATCTTTTGTAGGTGTACAGTACATTGTCGAAGAATGGATTAATTTGTCAATTGTTTAATGTCTCGGTAGTTTTTCTTCTGCCTGTTTACACACAGCGAGGTAATACGAATTTTTTTATATAAGGTGTGTGTACATCAGGGTTGTTCTTAGCCCCTTGTTTTTTAATTTTAACTTGCCTAATCAAATCATTAACTTAATGATTCTACGGCTCCCGGATTTGATTTTGAGGGAATTGAAGTAAAAATTTTGGCTTATTCTGATGACATCGTGTTGGTTGCTGCTTGTGAACGTACTGAGGATAATTGTTTTGGAGACGTTTGTAATATGGCTCTGAAGATTAATTTGGTTAAATCGAAAGTTGTGGTTTATAGGAAAGGCAGTATGGGTTCTATTAAAGAAAAGTGGTCTTAGAGAGGACGTAACATCGAGCTGATCTATTTGGGTGTATTATTTTGTTCAAATGGGAGATTTGTAAAACATCTTGACGTAATGAGGCAGAATCTGTCATTTAAGATTATTCAAACGTGTAAAGGGTAGATAGGCTAAATGGAGATAAACTTCGTTCATATGAATCTGTTGTTACCAGTGGTTTTTTAAGGTGCCAAAGTATGGTTTTATGATTGGAATACTAGATATGAATCTATCCAATAGAATTTTATTAGACACGTTTATTGCTTAGGATGGTGGGGTCATTATTTCTTAGCGTTAGGGTGAGACTATGCAGACGCAAGTGAGCCAGATGTCTATTACTATCACACAGATAAGAGCGTGAAACGTCACAACCTCTTCTTGCCCGCTCACATATGCACGGAATATTTACCAAATTCTATGGTGCAACTATTTCTTAGTAATAATCTGTAATCTACAATCGAGAATTCCTTCCATATTGTGTGGGCGCATGCTAAGTTTACATATGAGTGAAACCTAATCTTTTGAAAATAGAATAAGCAGTAATATTTGAAAAATCAACCTGAGATATATTCATCATTGTAATATACAGTGGTACCTCAGGTTACGAACGCCCCAGCATACGACATGAAATTCGAACATATTTTTGCTCCACGATACGAACAAAAACTCACCATACGACGTTACATTAGTTCGCATTTTTCATTTGTNAACTACTAATATTTAATATTAAATTTATCTTTAAAACTGTATCAATAATTAAGAAAAATTTAACGAGCAGGTTCTGACTTTTGTATTTATTTACTGGCATAAAAATTATTGGATGGAAATTTTGTCCAGATTGAAACTTGCAATAGAGGATAAGGAAGTTATTTGTGGAGACTAATTCTAGAATTGGCCTCTGTGCCTAATTTACACAATCTCGCGAGGCGCCGATCCCTCACGATCTAGGCATTGTCTAGAGGTGCCCAAGTAATATCTAAATACTGCCCAAAAGCGACCGAAAGATCAAAGGTCACAACCGGAATACCAAAGGAAAAGACCACTACTAGCAGCCTAATTTGCATAATCTCGCGGCGGCCGACTCTCCACAACTGGCCAAAATACCCATAAAACAATTCTTCGCGGGGGGCAAAAAGATCAAACCTACGAAATACAGCAAAAACCGACGTTCCCAAACTCCTAATTTGCATAACGCCACACTCAAACTTCCTCATTTGCATAATCGCATACTTATTACTTCTGAACGTCAATGGCTAAATCTATTTTGAAGGATACATTGCAATTTGAAAGATAATTTTTACCGCAATCATTTTAAAAAATTTTTAAATTCTGCGAACGAAAGAATTTGATTATTTTAAACGGTAGTTTTGGAGACGAGTTTGATGAATTTACTTTTGTTAGTTCTTGGGGTTCATCAGTAATACACTTTAATTTGTTGAACAATATCTGACCTTCTTATAGATAATAGAACGGAATCGGATAATTTTCTGATCTGTTTTGATATAGTAGGCAATCAGTAATGATTGTGCTATGCCTGCCCATAAAGTGAGTACAGCGCATAATTATTTTGGAATAAGTACGAAATATAGATCAGCTTTTTTACAAAAATGGCACTAGGCCTATATAGATGATCAAATTAATCTTGATGTTTTAAATAGACATTATTTTGGCGGGTAAGCAACTTTGCTTTGACAGTAAGTTAACTGTCAATTTTCTTGGTTTGATTTTTGTCATTTTGCAATAGGGCATTAAACAAACTGAGGAAGATGACCATGTGTAATGAACCAGTGGTTAAAAATTATCTCAAGTTCGATCGAATTTTATAATTTATTCCTGATGTCTTCGATCATAGTTTCTTGACTTGGTCCTTTCCAGCTAATTGGCGCATTAGTAAAATATTTCCTGTTTTTAAAAAAAGGATCACGTAATCGCTCCCAAAATTATCGTGGTATTTCTTTCTTGTCAGTTTTATCGAAGTTATTTGGGAGAATCTTGGTTAATAGATTGACAGTTTGGGCTTAGAATTTTGGAATAATTTCGGACTTTCAGATTGGTTTTCGTAAAGGTTTTTCGGCAGTGTATAATATTCTTTCCACGATTATTCAAAAAGCATTAAGAAACGTGGCAAAGTTTATGCCTTCTTTGTGGATCTCCACTCTGCCTTTGATTCCCTGGATAGAAATCTTTTGTAGGTGTACAGTACATTGTCGAAGAATGGATTAATTTGTCAATTGTTTAATGTCTCGGTAGTTTTTCTTCTGCCTGTTTACACACAGCGAGGTAATACGAATTTTTTTATATAAGGTGTGTGTACATCAGGGTTGTTCTTAGCCCCTTGTTTTTTAATTTTAACTTGCCTAATCAAATCATTAACTTAATGATTCTACGGCTCCCGGATTTGATTTTGAGGGAATTGAAGTAAAAATTTTGGCTTATTCTGATGACATCGTGTTGGTTGCTGCTTGTGAACGTACTGAGGATAATTGTTTTGGAGACGTTTGTAATATGGCTCTGAAGATTAATTTGGTTAAATCGAAAGTTGTGGTTTATAGGAAAGGCAGTATGGGTTCTATTAAAGAAAAGTGGTCTTAGAGAGGACGTAACATCGAGCTGATCTATTTGGGTGTATTATTTTGTTCAAATGGGAGATTTGTAAAACATCTTGACGTAATGAGGCAGAATCTGTCATTTAAGATTATTCAAACGTGTAAAGGGTAGATAGGCTAAATGGAGATAAACTTCGTTCATATGAATCTGTTGTTACCAGTGGTTTTTTAAGGTGCCAAAGTATGGTTTTATGATTGGAATACTAGATATGAATCTATCCAATAGAATTTTATTAGACACGTTTATTGCTTAGGATGGTGGGGTCATTATTTCTTAGCGTTAGGGTGAGACTATGCAGACGCAAGTGAGCCAGATGTCTATTACTATCACACAGATAAGAGCGTGAAACGTCACAACCTCTTCTTGCCCGCTCACATATGCACGGAATATTTACCAAATTCTATGGTGCAACTATTTCTTAGTAATAATCTGTAATCTACAATCGAGAATTCCTTCCATATTGTGTGGGCGCATGCTAAGTTTACATATGAGTGAAACCTAATCTTTTGAAAATAGAATAAGCAGTAATATTTGAAAAATCAACCTGAGATATATTCATCATTGTAATATACAGTGGTACCTCAGGTTACGAACGCCCCAGCATACGACATGAAATTCGAACATATTTTTGCTCCACGATACGAACAAAAACTCACCATACGACGTTACATTAGTTCGCATTTTTCATTTGTTTTTCTTACTACAGTTATTTTTTTTAATGTATTACTTGGCTTTAATTTGAGTATGTTTTTCGCGTTGGAACGAATTATTTGGTTTTACATGTAATCGTATGGGAAAAGATGATCCACCTTACGACATTTTCATGATACGATCTCAGTTTCGGAACGGATTAATTTCGTATCCTGAAGTACCACTGTATTTTGAAACCGTGTCTTTCTTTCTTTGAATAATTTATCACTACTAGACACTTGGCAATTCTGTCAACTTTTATTTCCTGAATAAAAGTTGACAGAATTGCCAAGTGTCTAGTAGTGACAACAAATTAGAAAAAGTATACAGTATTTTATTTCTTACTTTATATATTCAAACATGTTATAAAAAATGTTTGCCACCCTCTAAATCCAATACAATCCAATGTTTCTTAGTGCTAAATTAACCAACCCCCAAGAGATGAATCCAAGGCACTTTTAATAGTGGCTGGTTGTGACCTCCTCCTGCTAACCTGATTTGCATATTTCTTACTTTCGCATTTTTTTCATTAGGTGAACACTATTATTAAAATATTTTTAATAAATTATGGCATCAGTTTATCACAGCTTGTTTACTGGTGAATATTGTGTATTAATTACTACATATAGGATTTTGTATTTGTATTGGATATTTTATGTACAGTACAGTAATAACCTCGACTTATGCGATTTTCAAATCTCGTTGATTCGTCTTTTGTTTGAGCGCCATGCAACTCTTGATTACTCACTCCCCCATACTATTGTTCAGCTTACATGTTCGGACTTGTCGTGTAGAATCGACACATACTACAATTTATTTTGTGTTTGTTATATCTACGGAGACTTGAGAGACTCTACGCGGCAATTTCTTGTAACCGTAAACAAATCAAAAGACGAGATATGATTAACGAGAATATTTATTAGCTTACATACATCCGACTTGGATTTTACGTAAATTGGGAAATTATACCCTGACTTACATGGTTATTGCTCGGTCCCACATATCGCGTAAGTTCAGGGTATTACTGTACTGGATATTGCAGATACGTAATGGTTATTGAATTTTATATTTATGAATTGGATTCTATTATATTTAGTGTTTGTGTTATTGGGCTCTTAATCCAGTGTACGGGGAACAGACTACAAAGAAAATTATCTTTATTTACTTATTCAGTATGTTTTATAACGATTAATTGATCACTTCTTGGTTAATTAAAAACTACAGCAAAATTCAGAATATTTATTTATTTTTCATTTTTTTGATAGAACTGTATTTTTTTATCATTAATCCAAATTAACTTTGACTGACAGTCCTACCGGCAGAGGAAGAACTTTCCCTCTGGGATGCTGAACGTCTCCTCCTTATTTCCTCAGCACGTTTTTCCTTTGCCTCCTTGGCACGTTGGGCCAACAGCCGAGCATATTCAGCAGCCTGGTCTTTACGTTTCTGTGCCCTCTTGCGCTTCAAGGCCAAGCGATGACGCTTTCTCTGCAACATGATAGGAGTAACCAATCGTTGGATCTTTGGAGCCTTTGTTCTAGGCTTTTTCCCTATAATGAAAATTTAGTCAATACGCATCAACAGATATTTTTAACTCTTACATTAACATATAAAAATATTTTTGTCTAAATTACCTTCCTTCTGGGGAAGAGGTTTTCTCACTACATACTGGCGCACATCATCCTCTTTTGACAAGTTGAAAAGTTTTCTTATCTTACTTGCTCTCTTGGGACCAGAACGACGTGGAATTGTGGTGTCAGTCAAACCAGGAATATCTTGCTCGCCTAAAATTGAATTAAAGTTTAAAGATTCACATCTTGTGAATAATTCATGAATATTTCTTGACATTATATTATTTCTTGTTGTTTTGATTCTATTTTCAAACAGAACCTTGCTTTATTATCTATTAATATACATGTAATATACTTGCTGGCTGAAGAGGGCTGTTAAATAAACTGAAAATGCATTCCAGGAAGGACATCATGCATTAATGAATAAAAACCAGAAAAGATGTGTGTGTGTGATGAAATATATCATCATGTTAATAATAATTAACAGTGAGCCAGCTGGCCTTATGATAAAGCAGAATCCACTGAACAATTTGTTAAATAGAAGTTTGATGATCATTTTAAAATGACAGACAAATTCAAATACAGTAAAAATATGAAAAGTATTTTCTTTTTGTTTAGATTTTTTTATGGCAAGTTGAAAAATTATAAATTCAAAGACAAATTAATTTGAAAATTAAACAAAGGCAAAACCTGAAAGTGAAGATGAAACCAAACCACTGCAATTGTTAGAATTTTTTTTATTCCTAACCAAAAGATATAAACCAAACGATATAAAAGATATAATGTATTATTTAAAAATTCTTTCTTTAGAAAATTTTTTCATTTTTATAATACTTTTTGCAGAGTATTTCTCATTTCTATATTCACAGATTTTACAGAATACAACACCCAAAAGTATGAAGTTTATACTATATTAACCTATAAAATGTTAGAGCTTAGAAAACTTTCCCATACAAAGTATAAAAATTATTTTAACTCTACAAATCAAATATAGATTAATATTTTATAAAAATAAATAATTTACAATACAAACAAAATAGAGCTAAAAAATCATATCACAAACCTTTCTTCACAATAACCAAACATATGACACTGAGATTAGAATCTACAATGCATCCACGTACTGATTTACGTTTTCTCTCTCCGGTACGTCGAGGACGATAGCAGGAATGGCCTTTTGATAGCAACAATCTAACACGTCCTGCAGTCAAAACTCCCTGCTTCATTGGAAATCCTTGTTTGTCATTTCCACCACTAATTCTAACTACATAGCCCTATTGTTAAAAAAATTTAAATAAAACAAGTGCATAGTATTTTAATATTTCAAATATCTCAGAAATTTTAAGAATAGAATTATAATGTAAACAATTCCGTTTCAGTGTAAGGTCAAAGTTAAAACTTGTTCTACTTCTTACAAAATGTATGCTATGCAGTCATGCTGGCAAACTAGCCAATTGAACAAGAGATAGAGTAATTGTATAGAAGGCAAGATGGGTGTATAGCCAGCATTGCATTTAAATCTGCACACTAAAAGTAGATGATAATGAATGACAACAGCCAAAAAATACAAGTTGATGTAATTTGTTAATTTTTAAAAACACCCATGTGCAAGTAATGCAAAGTTTTTAAATTTTTTGATTCCTTCTAACAATAGTAAAAATTCTTTTATTAACACCACTGATTTGAAACTTTACTTAAAATTCTTGGTAAACAATGCAACTTTGAAGTCTTGGGGTAACTTTATCACACATGAATAGAAACACTGCTCACCAAACTTGCACGTTATATCTTCAAGAAAAAACAGACTGCTGTAGTATGAAAATTTCTGTAATAAACTGTAAATATTGTTTCATTGCTAGTTTGATGTTATTTAATCTTTATAATTATGGAATAGTTCAAATTAAGTTTTCACAAACATTTTCCTTTGAAAAAAAAAAAATCATCAAATATACCATCTTGTCCCATTGGTAGGATAAGACAGGGTGTGTTTTGGGACGATATGAAAAGTTAACATCTTTGAACATTTGAGAAAAAACTTTTTCTGTTATTGAGTTATTTAAACCCAGGAAAAAACTAATTACTTAAAAAACTTCCTTATCTTGCCCACTTCTAACTACCCCCTTTATAAGTAATAAAGTAAGGCCACAAATAGATAATGTTAATATATAGAATGTATCAATTTTTCTGAAAACAAAAAATCCAGTTACAACTGATCAAATACAGTCGACCCCCCTATAACACTGTTGATAATTCCATTTTATATGAATTCCATGTTGTACGAGTCACTTAGATTTTACAAATTCGTGAGCCATTCACAGCCCAGCACACATATTTGTAAAATCTAAGTTACTCGTACAACATGGAATTCATATAAAACAGAATTATCAACAGTGTTATAGGGGGTCGACTGTATCTATTTTTTGAGTGACAAAAGAGACCTCACAGGCATACAATGTTCAGCTTATAGATGATATTACACATCTAAGATCTTATTTTTTTCTTATTCATTCAATTTATTCTTCTTATTCTCTATTGGGTTAATTAACCCAAGATTAATCCTATCAATTTAAATTCAGATTCCAATATAGTGTCAATGTACCCATCCATAACAAGAAGTATGATCTATAAAGCATTAAATAAACAGAAATAGAGGAATTTGAAATAGATTTAATAAAATTTGTATTTGAAAATAATAATTATACTTTTTTATATTTCATTGCTATTTGTGTATAATTATGTTGATGACATATTGATACTGACTATTTATTTACTTTTCTTACCTTTGAATTAGAAAAGAAAGAAAATAAAAGCATAGTTTACTTAGATCTAAACAGAAATCTGTTTAGAATGAATAAAAAAGGTTGTAATATAGATAAAACTACTATTTACCATTCATATAGCCCATTATATATTAAAAAGAATAATTTTGTTACAGAATCATGAAAAACTTACTGTAGAATAATGTTAACAGACAGAGAGATTAAATATTTTCTATATATTTTAGTAATATCTTTTTCTATTTATCTAATAAATATTTTGGATAATCATAAAGGAATATTGAAGAAAATAAAATTATTCTTTAATTTTTAACCCAGAATCTATAGTTTTCTTTACATAAAAGGACTGTTTGAAAAGCAAAAGAATAAACTAAACATTACAGTAATATTATTATAACACTTACGTGCAGTGGCGTTACAGGAGTGGAGTTCCAGATACGGAAATTTATCCGACTTTTGGAGAAAGATTTTATCCACTAGCACTTTTAGCAGTGTAAAACTACCATCATCAGGCATACATAGAATATGATAGTTTAAGCTTTCTGAACGATATTCCAATGGTTTTACAAAATTTTCAAATTGAATTGTTCAGAAAGCTTAAACTATCATATTTTATGTACACCTGATGATGATAGTTTTACACTACTGAAAGTGCTAGTGGATAAAACCTTTCTCCAAAAGTTGGATAAATTTCTGCATCTGGAACTCCACTCCTGTAATACCACTGCAACGTAAGTGTTATAATAATAGTATATGTCAGCGTGAAGTGCAAACTTATTATATTACAGGAATAAAAAGAAAAAGTGAAGAAGAAAAATTAAATAAAACAGGCATATTATTTGAATTGAAATGCGACTGTAATAGAAATGCAGAAGTATATATTAAAGAAACAGGAAGACAACTGGAAAAACAAATAAAAAAGCATCATCGTGTTAAGACTCAAACATCAATGGTCTCCGTGGATAATAAATCAAAGTGAAAATAATTGTAAAATATTATTGTATGAAAGAACTATATTTTTAGAACAATTTTTTTTAGAGCAATTTGTCATAACCGAAAAAATGTAAATGTAATAAATTGAACACAGGTATAAATGTGTCTCCAGAAGAGCACATCATTGTATATGGCATTGATACAAAATGACAATCAATTATCAGAAAGTTGATATTTGTAAATAATAATTAAATTTCATTATATATTGTTCTTTAAATATTCATTGTACTTGTTTGGCAATTGCTAGAACATATAAGAGATATTGATGAGGATTATTGTGATAAATGCATTTTGATTTAACAAAGATAAAAAGTAAATTTTTATTTAATGATTGTTTTAAATAATACACCAAAAAACTGTTTTATCTTGGTTAGAAAGAAAGTTTGTATTTTTTTTTTTAAAAAAAGACCTCAGTTGGTTCTTGTATATTTGAAAAACTTTTAACAATTACCTTAAAAACTTTAAAAAGTATAATAAGGTTAAGTTTTAATTGCTAAATATATTGCTCCCAAAGAGAATGTACATGTTCAATAAGGAATTAATTTTAGAAAAAATAAGGCAGCCTTCAACTAGGTGGTTTTCTGTATGACTATCCTACTATATACACTATGTGCTTTTGGAGCAGCCACTGAAAGCAAAATAATAAACACTGTGCAGTTTAATGCTTGAGATGGTGACTTCTAAAGTACTGCTTGTTTGTTCTATTTTTGTTAAAAATCATTGTAAATATACATAAATAACCAAGTACAGATATTCTGTAATAATCATATTAGTTTCTACATTATTCAGACTATAGTTTGGATAACTATTAACAATTAATCTACTTATATAAGCCATTGATCCCGCTGCTTGTATATCTGTCATCTGTCACAGAATGTCTAGAACGTGCACTAGGGGGTGTCTGTAGTGATGATTATCTGCTATTATTTAAATTAATAGTATAATTTATTTATTAACAGTATATATTTTTATTTGTAATAGGAATTTATTATTTACAAATTTTCTTATTTATACCATGGAATGACACTGTTGCTGCTAGAATGCCCACTAGGGGGTGTCCCGGGCTACTAGTATAATATAAGATAGTTAAACTGCTATCATATACATACTAGCATTAACTAATAATTACATTAAATTTAATGATTATCAATTCAAAATAAAATTGAAACTGAAGATGACATTATAGTGGTTTAAAACTAAAACAAACAAAAAGGTAATGTAGAAACCTAACAATAATTAAACTAACGTTTGTAAAATTTAATATATTAAATAACTTTCAATGTGAGCATGTTAGAAAAGACAATAGCTTAGTTCAGGAGCACAGTGATGTGTACACATGTGCTTATTTATATTGTCTACACCAGTGTTTCTCAACAGGGCAATATCACCCCCACGTGAGCATTTTTCCATGTTGAGGGGGCGATTAGTAACAGTTTATATTTTGGGGAGGCGAAAAAACAATTTTCTGGGCAATATAGTAAAACATTATAGTAAGAATAATTAGGTATTTTATTCGTTATATCGTACAATAATTAAACATTATACTAGTCACTAGCCTATTCAATGCAGTTTGAATTTGGTGTTTGCCTTGACCCTCGGCATCAGAATTTTGAAGGAGGCGATACTATGTTGAAGGGGGCGACAATTCATTAGAAGTTGAGAAACAATGATCTATACCAGTGGTCCCCAACATTTTTCATTAGCGTAGCCCCGTGGCATTTCCAACTTCCCAACGAGCAATGCACGCGCAAATCTCGCACTGCCTGTTTGTAGAGAGTGTTGCCACTTTGAATTTTATTTTGACTCGGTTCTTGGTCCCCCAAGTACCTACAAGTCTGTTTTTTTTTTTATGCATGCACGATTTGGGCACCTAATACTTTGTGCCAAATTGCAACTCTTGACATGTACTCCTCCATACCTCTAAGCTGGTACGAGCTTAGAGGTATGATTTGAGAGTTGATTTTTTTGGGGCTCTTAACATAAATTTTTTAATTTAATTGTTTTCAAAATGTAAACATCTTCGTTAGAAAAAACAGAGAGGTATAAATTAGATCAGAGGTCATCAGTTGTATAACAAGTCCGCAGGAAAGCTGATGCTTAGCTGTCAAAAATGCTTCATCAGCATCAATAATTGACGATCACGTGACAACTTTCCCACAACAATAGTATAAAAGTGCAAGCTATCGGAAGCTCAGGGCGATTCGTCATAGGAAGTTATAATTGGTGATAGTGCCACCTCGACTCCCGGACCTCCATACAGTGGACCTGATCCAGCAAAAAGAAGACACCGAGGACTCCTACCTCTTCCACACAGACGATGTTTGCCATATCAACTCTCCGTTATGCCCGAAAGGTATTTAGGGCCTATTAGAACTTGTAAAAATGCCCTCTCTCGAACTAGTTACGAGAGTAGTTGCCCATTTTGTGTAAATAGTATAGCATAACCGCATTTAACCTTAGCACTTATACAGCCTCCTGTAATCTAGATTTAGTTAATTAATAAATGCTTGGGTATTTTGTTAAACCTGTCTATCATTGCTCTAAGGACACCCGTCGACTTGCTCACCTCCCTCGCCCTCGATAAAAAGCCATCTGAAAAGACAACGTGGGCAAGTTTTACCAATTCAACGTGTAAGTGGCAATTAGGGTACTGACCATGTGCCCTCGTAATCTCACAATTATAATAACGGTAACACACCCCACCATCAAAAGTCCATAGCATAATTGCAAATCACACATAATGGTATCCCCACTACCATTGACTGTGCAACATTTGTTGATCTGTTGCATTGTATAATCAGCAACATAAGTTTTTATTTCTATTTTTGCATTTTGAAATGTATAATAAAGTTTGTGATTGTTGCAAGGAGCATTTTTACCATATTAATTTGTGATACATAATATATTATTTTTTCTGCCATAATAACTAACTTTTTTCTGTACCCCTAAACAACCTGTCGCGTACCCCCAGGGGCACGCATACCCTGGAATGGGAATCGCTGGTCTACACTAATGCATATTTGAAGATACCTTGTATGTATGGTACAGTACTTAGTCTTAATAAGAAATTTGCTACTGACAAATTCATTCCTTTACTCATTGTTTGCCTCCATGATTTGATTGCAGGCACTTATAAACTGTCACAATTATGTAAATTAAGTATAAAAATAAATATAATTTATCACTTTCTTTGACTAATTTCCTTTGTTCATGAATAGTAATAAAATAAACCTGAAAAAAATTAAACAGAAAATAATTTTGTTAAATATTAAAATTAATTCTTTTTGGCCTCTAATAATTTTATGTTAGACTGACCAATATCTTAATTGAAAGTATTTATTAAAAAACTTAAATCTTAAACCATCAAGGTTAGGGAACTGTGATTATTAAGGCAAATGGGTGGAATTTAAAGTCAGAATATAACCTGCAACTCCTTTCAAAATTTTCAAATACAGAAAACACCCACCAAAAAAAATCTGTCTTCTGATTTTACATTATCTCATATTTCTGCAAGAGATGCAAGTTTGAGAGAGCAAGGCCACCATTCTTTGATAGGTAGATGATATGAGTAAGAACCAGTCATGTAAAATGGCATAGTATGTGTATGCTGGCAATGACAGAAGCAAGTGGAGTGCCTGATTACCCCTTTTTGCACAGCCAAAATCATGGTCAGAAGGAAAATACAAAACAGTGCTTTCCAAATTACTTTCTTACATTTTTGTGATGTAAAAATAGTCCCTCTTTTGATTAATTTCAATAATTGATTAAAACTAGTCCCTCTTTTGATTAATTTCAATAATTGGCAAGCATTACTCCAAGGGAACATTTCCATTAAGCTGATCACTTAGTACAGATTCTGTGACAAGCTAAGGTCAAGATAAGTGACACTTTAAACTTTAATGACTTAAGAAAGCTGGTATAATGAGAAAAAACTACAGACGTGAATACCCCGATACAAGGTGTGATAAAAAATTCCAGGAACTTGACCACAGAAAGCAGACTTGAACATCTTATTTCATTCATGCCAATTAAGTATTGTATGAATTGGGATATTAGAGTAGTGACAACGAGGTTAGAGAACTAATGTAAGCATTCAGAGATAAAGTACCCCAATGCTTATATCTCTGCAGCTTCTACTATGCTCCTTTGATATAGGGAAAATATAAAAATGTTTTGGAGCAAAAACAAAGAATGAAGGAGATTAGGAAAGCATTATTATGCCAGATATTTAGAGACCAGGAACACCTGATGAAAGACAAAAGTGAAAGGTTGAAGCAACTAGCAGGTGACTGAATATTCTATAATTACTTGCATTTATGTTCAGTTTTAAAAGAATTTTTTGATTTTATACAGATTTCAGTTTGAAGTTTAACAATCAACTGATAACACTACTTTTTGTTACTTTTTTAAAATATTTATAAATACTTTTTTGTCTAATAATGATTTAATATAATTCTATTAATCAAAACCTGCGATGTATTCAATATATTACTATTAATATTTGATGCAAATTTTTTTTTGAGTTGAATAAAATTCTCAGTTAACAATATAATTATCAAAAGCTTTACCTTCCATTCATCTCCAAGTGCATCTGCTTCAACTTCTTGTCCCATTCTTTTTTCATAAAATATGCGCACTTTGCGTTCATCATCAAACTCAATTAATTTTTGACAGCCAGTTGCCGGATAAGATATATTTAACTAATAATAATAAGAAAATATTAATTAAAAATTACAAATATAATAATACATCAAAAGTTACTTTATTTCAGTTTTCTTATTGTTTAATCAATTTATTAATATAATTATTTTATTAGTATTAAATTTGTTGAATTTTATTAATAACTCAGCATGTTTGCTATAAAATATTAAACATGAGATGCTTGAGTCCTAGACACAAAAAGCCCTAAAAAATAAAAGTATCAGTATTCATGTTGTTTATTTACATTCATTGTTTACTATTGATTTAATGAAGCATCCAAATTTACACAAAGTGATAGTTTCAATTAAAAATGATAATATTTAGTAAATACATAAAATGCCTTCACTTTTTGTCATGTCCAATCATCAGGAACAGTTTTGTATTGCAAAGACAATCCTTTTAATTATTGCCTTGTCACCACTGAACTTTTTTGTTAGTTACTTCTATGTATCTGTTAAATCATGATGCTTTTTATCAGCAAGTTATTTGGTTTGCTTGAGAAATTATGCATGTATAACCAATTATAGTCCCTACATCAAATGTGTTACAATTTCTGTAATATTAAAATTCACATTATTAATTAATTATCTGCACATTGCAAGCACTTACAATTATTATTCATTATACTGTATTTATATATAATTTGAAAATATAGATTATATTTTTGAATAAGTCATCCTTAAAACTACATTTAGACCTAACAGTAGAATCATTTGATATATGTACATTCAAAAACTTGTAAATTAATATCTATCTTTTGGTTTATAGATGATTTTCACTGTTGTTAATTAATGAGCATGTGTAAAGCACTAATGCCATCTAGCAGGCAAAGTTATAAGCTTTTAATGAGAGTCAAAGTACAGCAATCACATGGGCTACACTGCCTAAACTATTTATAAAAACAAACACATTATACAAACTAAAAATGTTTGTATTTTAGAGCATCATTGGAATTTTATTTTAGAAATAAGTATAAAAAACTAGGGGAAGGGAGGGCAAGATGGAACTACTTACCCACCCCGAACTACGCAATGAAGTATCTGAATCTCCATGCACACAGAGACATCCGGATATCTTGTATTTAAGAACAGTGACTCAGACCGGTTGGTACCACTAACTGATGTGTGCAAGTATTTCTTATTTCACAGCAGATTATTACGCAATCATTGGACTTTTGCAGTGTTGTTATTTATACCTACAAGGTAAATATTACTATTTTGTTTTTATAAAAAGTACCTATTAGGGATAGATTGCATGAATTGATATTTAAAGAAGAAAAAAAATTCAAGGATTTTTAAATCGTTGATATTATCATTATTGGCAATGGGCAAGATGGAATAGTTTCCCGTACGCAATTATTTTGATTTGTTTTCAATTTATCTAACTAATTGAGGATGTAATTGTTTTTAGATGGTGAACAAGTATATAAGAAAGAGCAACAGAGGTTCTTGGACTAAAGAAATGATGCAGATGGTGATGGATGAAGGTTTTGTGTATTATGTGGAACCACCCACAGAGGACTGGGTACAATGTCCAGTGTGTTGTGGTTGGGCACATGAACTATGTACAGACACAAAAGATGGATGTTTTTTGTGTGTCAATTGTAAAATTTAGGGATATCCTATGTATTCTATCTTGCCTTCAAGGTGAGAGCAAGATGGAATGTTTGACGTTTTTACTTCATGATTCCTAACAGATTTTATACTTAATATTAATTATTTTTAATTACACAATTTTTTAACCATGTAAGATCTCTGTCGAGACTGATTAAAATAAAAGCTTTATATTACGTTGTTTTATGTTTTTTTTACATCATAAAGTTAAACTTTCCATCCTGCCTCCCTCATCCCAAAATGTCCTATGCCAATGGAATAAGTGTTATGGATGCAGTTCTGAAGGAATAAAAATGATTGATATTAATTAATGAGGTTTTTATTAATTGATTTAGATTCAACTGCAGCACATACCAAAAATGGTATTGGTATCTTTCCTGCATGTGCACTGAAATTTAATTTAAATAGCATCATCATTGGTGATTCCTATTATGATATCCAATGACGCAAGACAATCTCAGCACCAAACTTATGAATTGGTAGTCCTGTTGCTGATTGGTTGAGCCATCAACTTTCTTTAGGAGTACAGGAAGTTGACCACCCATCTCTTTACTCTGTGGCCAGCTCTTGCTGAGTAGTATGTTTGGCAACTGATGCAACTGAGTTCAAAATTCTGTTCATGAAATGATTTGTCCAAAAACTGAAGTTTGACTGTATTTTACAGATAAAATTAGAAAGCATTTGAATATTATAAAATAAAATGTCTTATAAAAATTTATCGAGTTTACTCTATGATTATAAAACAAATATTTTCTTTTTGAATGAAGTAGTGGATGAAGTCAAGTAAAAATGGACTGAGAATATTTTTATGTTTGTTAGGAAGTTCTCTCATTGTTTTGGCTAATGTTATGTGGTGAATTAGAACATCTTGGCACACAGCAAAAAACTTTTGAAGACCTTTTTGTCATCAATGCTCTCATATTTTTAGTAGTAGTATAGAAGCTTTCTCTCAATTTTTTAAAAATGTATTTGGTATACAATTGCAAAGTACAAAATTTTTGTTGCCAACCTATTTAAATAAACTAGCAACAAGTTGTTCAACTTTTCCAGCAATATTTACAATTTTGGTGGCACCATCTGTTATCATATTTTATTAAAAAACTTGTATTTTTAACTATTATAAAATGGCAAAAAACTTAATTTTGAAAGTAGGGGATGGTTTTATAAAAAATTGTAAATGCTAATAATGAGTAAAATCGTCATTAAGTCCAACCCTACTGGATATGCACACAACCCCCTTTATCTCTCCACCCCTCGGTCTTTACTCACTAAAATTTAATAGCATAAATCCCCCTAATAAACAAACCTCCCTACAAATTTTCGACAAAATGCACAGGAGTTATTAAGCTTCAAACAGAGTGAACAAAATTGTGCCCCCCCCCCACACACTAACATCCACATATACAGAAATCACCCCTGAACAGTTTTGATTTCTTGACGCTTCAAGGTGTCCTAAGTCCACAAATGTAAAAATCTTGGGAGGATCATTTTTTGACCGACCATCACACTTTCCCCCTGTTACGACTCTGCACCATTTCTTAAGTTTGTTTCTGTTGTGGAGTCTCAAGGTACTGGGCAGATATGTACAAAATGTGTAACGTGATTACCTTGAATTGTCACTCATACAAGCCACATGACATCTCTGACATATTTCTTGATAACTTTTTGGACTCCAAAGAGATCACAGCCTATAGTTTGATAAACATTGCATTTGTTACATTTTCAGTAATACATTCTAAAACAAAACCCACTGACTTAAGGTTTCTTAACAATAACTTTATTTTTCAGGATTGTTTTTAGATTCCAGGGGAAAAAAATCGTCACTGTCAAATCTCAAGTCTGTGAGTTTTATTGTAGAACATTACAATATTACTGGAAATGTAACTAATACAATGTTTATCAAACTAGGGTCCACAGTCTCTTCAGTCTGAAAAGTGGTGAATCATATGTTAAAAAATGATGTCACTTATAGCCCTAAACCACGATTCCTCCAAAGTTTGGCCCAAAAGAAGTCTTTTGCAAGAAGAAAGTTCTCAGGAAATATGTCAGAGATGTCATGTAGTTGAGGTGAATCACATTTGAGGTAGTCATGACATGTTTTGTGTGTACCCACTATCCAATGTGACACTTTGATGGAAACAAGCTTAAGCAATGGTGCCTCAAACAGTGCAGTCTGTAAGTAGTCCTATGTTTTTTTTTTGTTTATAGCATTTTTATATGAATCAATGAAAAAAAAAACTTTGTGTTTGCAAATGTCTATCAAGTATGTCTCTTTAAAATAAAAAAAACAATAATAAACTTAGTTTTACTAAATGTTTGTTTAAGTTATGACAATGCAACCCTTGGGTGATCTGCCTAGTGGGATGCCTTCCAGGAGGTCTTTTTAAGGGAAACTTGCCCCTATTTAGGTGTTACAGATGTGGAGAAAACCCAGAAAACTCCACATGGCCAGCTCATCCGAGCAAGGCTCGAATCCATAACTGAACTCCCACATCCGATTGAAGAGAGAACATTTAGAAACTGACGGGTAGATTTACAGATCGGGTAGACTGCTGTTCAGAAAAATTTAATTATAGAGACGGCTTTTCTCACCTGCCACAATGTAGACAGCAATTAGAAACAAGTTATTTGACCTATTATCTAGACTCACTCAACAGCAGGTTTAGAGGGCTTTTCAATTTGAGTGGTAGCTTTGTTTGTGGAAAAGTTTAGATAAAAACAGACATTGTTCCTTTGATAAATGTTGTAAACGGTACAAATCGACAAAATTATTCATTAATTAATTGCTTGGAGCAAAAACAACAAAATTAAATACTTTAAATTTGTTTTAAATGTTCCAGTTTCAATATTCAAATGGGTGAAGACTTAAAACTTCGATTAATTCAAATCAGATGCATTTATTTACAATTTGAGTATTGTGTCGGTTATAAAACGTTAATGCATTTCAGTCATCGTACTGTTAAATAAACGAGACAATTTTAATAATTACAGAAATCTGTTTATAGATATAAAAAAAAATGTAATATTAATATATCAAAATGGAAAAGGATTGTCATTAATTGCCAAACAATGGTTTTGATGGCCTTAAGATTTTATTTCTGGAAGCTTTCGGAATATGGCTGGCAACCATTTCTGACATCTCAAACAAATAACCCAATTGGATGAACGAGTCCTAAAACAGGGGAGTAATAGCAAAGTAAGAGCCAATATTTTGCTGAAACTTCGTTTAGAGAACGGTCAGAAATAGACAATTGTTGTCTTTGCAATGCATTTTAAACCGCAGTTCAGCCAGCCAACGTCTATAGGCCGTTCTGTTGATAAACTTCGTTTAACATAAACTCTGTTTCCACACCTGGCTGCCAGTGTTCAGGGTATGAAGACTGCTTGACGACTGGTGGGTCAGTTTTATTAAAACTAATTTAAATAAATCAATATTAATACATAACATTTAGAAATGCCAAATACTCTGTGAACAAAAATTAGCTAACAAAATTTTGTTTGCTTTTTTAATAAACTTTGTAAGCACTCTTGCATATTTATTAGAAAGTTTCTTGTACACTTAATTCCCAGTTATAAAATATCTCAATGACAAATTTATTACCTAATAGATACATGATTATTGTGAATTTATTTTGGGCCATTGGGCATATTCAAAATTTCAGCATTAATCCAGTGAGATGCTACACGGCTACTGGCATTTTCTAGAGAGCACAAACGTTGACTGTCAGGAATTTTGGGAGAGAAAAACAAGAAAAATGGTGAATGATATGGACTTCCACATCATGTTAAATTTCTTTTTAAACTTATTCATTTTTCATTAAGCTGTTCTCATTAAATATTTCAAAAAGATAAATAGGGATGGAGATTTTTTAAATTTTCATAGGAGTTTTAAATAATTAAATCAATCCTAAGATTACACTTTAACAACTAAAACAAATTATGTAATGTCTTATGTAAATATACTAGTATATTAAAATATTCTACAGTATTAATGTACTAACTGAATTTTAATTTATTCAGAGTTTATCCATCAACAAATAAATTAAATTCAAAATTGTCAATGTAAAATAGAGCTCTTATGAACCTCGTGGTGGCTGTCATTTTGTTTGCTGGTATATCAAGCACAGAAAAAGATGCTTGCAGTTTGCCGAAAGCACACTGGCAGCATCCGGAAGTTAATTGAGATTTTGAACATGACCATTGTTAAGAACCTGGAGGGTTATCAGAAAATACAATTCTTTCTTGTAACTAAACAAAGCTACCAGAAATTGGTTTAATGATTTCCAACCATCAACGTGAAAGCTGTTTAAAACATAACATAAAAAGATAAAACTTTAATATGTGTAAGAAATGGAAGGGAGCATACTGTGACTTCCAATTTACACATATTGGGGCCTTGTTTGTTTTGTCCAAAAAACAAACAAAATATCAATGTGTGTACATTGTAAATTGGTACTTTTTAACATCAATTGGACATCACCTCTTCACTTTTACAATGAAAAAGTTTAAAAAAACGACAGTAAAAGTGTATACTTTCTCGACGAAACAAGCCTAGGAAATTTGCACCAATTACTAAAATAAAAATAAAATAATGAAGTTCTTCATTTAATATACAAACAAATTTTACAAAATACAATGAACTATATCCGAAATAATAATCGTGATGTTTTTAATCACGCTAAATTCATTTTTCGGGTACGAATTGGGGAGATTCAATCGGAGCCACGTGTTAGCTTCTCTATTTAGCCTAATGTTTAATTTTTTCATTTAAGATAAAATACGTGTTGTATTATTATTATTATTAGCTAATTTAATTTTAAAAATAACCGATACCACATCTGTGCAAATAAATCCAGAATTAGAATCGAATTCTGAAACATCCCGTATACATGATTCAATCCATTTACATCTAACTCTAAAATAGTTAATCATTCATCTTATTTTAATAAGATGTTAGAATATAGATTATATACTTTCTTACAGAGTATAATTCTAAAAATCAAATCTGTACAAACCTTCATTTTGCTTTGTTATATTTCACGAATACTTCTAGTTTCCGCACATCGACAAAAATGGACGTCACATACGCCGAATTCTCTCAGAAGTCGCTTCTAACCAAAGTTGCCAGATGTTTGTAGCCAAAAATTTTCTAAAAATAGCCCAAAATTAGCCAACTGAAAAAATTTCTTTTTAATAACCAGAGATTTGACGATAAAATAAAAACACACCATTTGTGCTTTACCAGCAATAACTTTAATCACAATAAATGTATTCGGACAATTTACAGGCCGGTAAACTGATCAGAAATACGGATCGCAAGATTCAAAATACATGCATACACTGTAATTTACTATGTCGACCAGTAGCGTGCCGCGACATTTGATTATAGGAAACTGTGTTTCTGTAAGAAGCTGACTTATAGGGGCAATCAGTTAATTGCGCGTTAGCGATAATCTAGGGTCCATTCGTATTCGTTTGTTCGATAAGCCAGAAAAAACCGTAGACTTCTCTAAATGTATTTTTAATATCACAATTGCATTTCGAACTGCTGGCCACGATATAAGGACTACAATTATAAATAAAATTATAAAAACTTGGTGAAATAAAATGTGTGGAGGATATACATACATGGTAGAAAATATTCTTCAATTGTATGAATATACTTTTAAAGAAAATTATAATTAAACATAGCTTTGGAAAAAAAAACTTGATTAATTAAAATAACATAAAATCTTCATTACTTTTTAAAATGTTAAAACAATGCACTTAGTCAAATAGCTCCCTACGAGTGGCTAATGAATGGAATCAGAGACGCCTGGTAGGTGTGCAGTGCGAGCTGCCAAATCCCGAGGGTGCCGATACTCGTCAATGTCAAATGCCTGTTTAGTCGCATCACTAGTATACCTCAAAGGACGCGATAGGACGCGATAAATTTTAAACGTTTCTCACCATAGTTGTAAAAATCTAAATATGTTAAACTTAATAGATTGTCCGTCATTTGTTTTCTAATTCATTTTAAGATCAGGTGTCCACGGAAATTTCCAAAATTTACATCTTTTCGGTTACTCTCATTGAACTGGAAAAATTTTTATCTTTATTACATCTAATATTACGAAGAAATCAGTTCCCATTGTACTCGGCTAGAGATTGGTTTGGTTAAGCTTTTGTTTAAGTAAAATTCAGGATCTTTCAGCAGGGGTTTTATTTATATTAAGTGTGAGACCCGAAAGGCCCTGGGTCTAATTTATGAATTTTTATTAATAATATTAAAATATCGACACAAAATATTACTTCATTTTTGTGAAAAACTAGTGTTTTGGACGTGGGAAAAAACCAGATAACAGATGCTACTTCCTTTCACAGAAGAGAACATCCTCTGACTTTCCCTTATCTGGTTAAAAATCTCACTCAGATGGGAAATGGTTACCTCTCATTCATTCCCCTTTCGTCCGTTCTCACGAAAGAGTTACTGGCCGATGATTGGTCGAAATTCAGGAGATATAAGGGAATTTAGTCCGAATTCGGGGAGTTCTTCGACAGATCCGAAGCGTCAGAAACTCCACGCAGTTCTCCTCCTGATGACCAACGCCCTTAAACGAGTCCCATAGACTACGTTCCGAGTCTGAACTTGGTGAAGATACTTTTTTTTGTGCACGTATTGATCTCCCATACGAAGAAGTAATATGAACTCTATCTCCAAGGTGTCCCTTACCTACAGAGAAGAAGACGACGACAACTAAACAGGTCGTATGTTTTGGAATGATTTTGTGAGCTCTCTCTCTCTCGATCGCGCATTAGCATTGAATAAGTCTTAGCCTATATCTTGTCGCTTAATTGTCGTTCATCGATTATTTGTATTCGTTTTGTTTTAGAATTATTAAATTTACTCTTGTTAAATATACTTAAATGTCTCTTAAATTGATTCCGAATCAGATCGCAAACGCGTGTTTGTCCGCGCAACGATAAATTGACAAACTGGTGTTGGGAACCTGACGAGCATCTGAACTTCGCCGTTCAGATCAATTTTGATACAGCGCCTTCCTATAAAACGTTACGAGAGCCGATCTCACGATCGCGCGCCGTAAGTGTCGTAGACTAAGATCTACGTCCTGGCTGATCTCACATAAGTTAAAACCTGTTACTTTGTACTTGAATATTTGTAGTCTTGGGAAAGAAGTGGAAAAAATTTTTTATGATAACGGATACATAAATTTAAGGAAAATAAATTCTAGGGCTTTTTTGTACCTTGTGCATCTCATTCATTACATTTAGTTGTAAGTGATACTGCCAAAGTAACTGTTAATTTTTTAACATTGTATAAGGATTGTACACGTGTTTTTCTGCATCCCCTTATAGATGGGACATACTAAATTGTAATATTACATGTTTAACATTGAAATCTGTAAGTAATACAAGATGAGCGAACGGAATAAAAGCAGAATAAATATATCAAGTATTTTAATGAATTTTTTTGAAAACACCTGTTAACTATACGGAATTATCATAAAAGCATACTAGTAAACTCCTGTCAGTTGTGTTAAGTTATAAATCTACTCGCGATTCACATGATGGGAGCGAGAGCGGCCAACTATCTAGCAGACAAGTGGCTAACATCGTAGAACCAGTCCTGGAGAGAATCATTGGAATCGTTATGGTGTGTGGCATCCACTAGCTAAACCGCGTGTGGTTGGTGCTCTGTAAAGCGCATGCATGAACAAATGCATATAATCTGGCTGCTTTACACAATCAGATATTTTCGCCGTGAAAGCTGTCTCCTATTCGACAATACAGCGCTTCCATTCCGTCACTGACATTCGAATATACAATAGCAATCTTATCGTTTTTTTCACACGTAGTATAGAAATTTGTAATAAGATACATAATGCGGTTATAATAAAATATTAATTTTAATTAATTCAAAGTACGTACGTCAAAATATGAAAGTAGTCGCGCAATATGTATTTATATTTTAAAAAATACAAGGGAAGCGACGCTTCCACTGCTTCCAAGGACGGCACGCCACTGATGTCGACAACACTCATTTTATCTGCAAAATAGATTGCAACGAATTATGCAACAAACTATCTTGCCAAGACAGACTATAAAAAATTAATTTTTCCATGTAATTTTCTTAATACAGTAGAGCGTCGTTTATCCGAATCAATTGGGGACTGGGGTTGTTCGGATAACTTATTTTTCGGATAACCGATTATATACGAAAAAATATAACTTATCCCGTGTTGAATTTTTTCTCCGTTGCGTGTCGCTTCGCGTTGAATTTTCGTCGATGTTAAGCCTAACGAAGACTATTGTATCGTTAAAAATGATTTTTTTATTTTGTACAAACAAAATAAATATATCGAAAAATATAAAAACAAAAAAAATTATACTTCAGAAGTTAATTTAGTATCAAAAACGTAAAATATTTGAGTAGCCGAAGACATAGCCAAAGATTACAGCACCACAGGACTGGCGAAAATTTAAATTTGTCGACTGGAATTCCTTCCGATAACCGACGTTTCGGATAACCAACCTTCGGATAAGTGACGCTCTACTGTAGTTATATTTTTTTTAACTCTCCGCCCTGTGGGCACTAAGAGGGCCTCTTTTTGCAAGCCCATTATGGGTTCGGCCAGGCCCACAATGGGGCTGCCGGGTCGTAAGGGGCGGGGCCCGACATATCCGATCGGATCACCCCCGAAAAATTCCTGGGGATTTTTCGACTCGTTCGGATGCGAACCCGGGTCCCTCAGAGCGGTGGGCTGCCACTTTGGCCATCCGGCCAAAGTGAGCTGCCCACCGTGGCAGCCCACGATCGGCCATCCGGCCGCCTAATAGTTATTAATTTGTTATTAAAAGGATTCATCAAACTACAATTATTTAATTAATTTAAAAGTTGACTAATATATTTCTTTATTAAGCCAATACGTACTGTACATTAATAATAACAATTGATAAAGAATGCCTACATACCACAGTACAGAAAGTAGACTACAGAAACAAATTAAAATATTAAAAACAGTTATTAAATTTATCATCGAAAATAGCATAAGGAAAAGTTAAAATCACTTTTAAAACAGAAAAACAAAAACCAAATTGATGAAGGGTATTGGTGAATCCAACAAGCACATATTAGTTTAATAAAGAAATTTCAGTCAACTTTCAAATTAAATAACTGTGGTTTGATAAGTTCTTTGGAATAGGAAAATTAAGGTGTCAACCTATTGACCTGGAGGCACGGGATAAATCCAATCAGGTCAAAAACATCCCAGGAACTTTTCGGGAGAGGCTCGGTCCGGTTATATCGGGCCCCGTCTCTTACCACCCTCTGTGGACCTGGCTGAATTCATAATGGGCTTACTATAATCACTCTTAGTGTCCACAGGCCGAAAAGAGTTTTAAAAATACCAGTAAGAGTTTATTAAGTTTTGACAATTTAAGACAAAAACTAAAATCTCTGCATAAGCAACAGTCAACAATTATATACACTATATTTAATAACAAGTACTGTAAATTAAAACAAATAATGCATAAAGAAAACCTAATTTTATAGTTAGCAATTCTCTTCCTTAGGAAGCGGTTTTCGGCCCGTCAGTCTGAGGTAGAAATTCTCTGTCTTTTCGAGATAACACAACACTTTTTAAGTTTTAATGCATTGTCTTCGCAAACATGGATTAACGATCAACACTAAATTCAGGGCTTTGGAGTCGCGTAAAAATCTACCGACTCCAACTCCGACTCCGACTTTTCCTTACCATCCGACTCTGACTCCGACTACAACACCAAAACTCCTCGACTCCGACTCCGACTCCGACTCCACAGCCCTGCTAAAAATTCTAAGTTTGCTTGCACGGTGCTTTTTATACTGAATTCAGATGGCTGTTCTAGCGTATTCGAAAATCCTCCGCATGCTTCTTGTTTGACTGGTCAAAGTAGAGCAGCGACTGGAATAAAGAGTAGATTCTACTCTTATTCCAGTGGTTGAGAGTAAGTAAGCTGCACTCCGAGTATTCTTTCTGTACTGGCCGAAAAGCAAGAGTAGCGATCTGCTCTAAGTACGGCGGCCCACCAGTGGCCAAGTGTTTCCCGAACACTGAGAGTTTGGTGGGGTATTACACCTCGCCAGGACGGGCTGGCCACGTGAAGTTT